AATTGTTCTCTCATTGTTCTTACCCTAACACCTAAAATGTTTGGCATGTCCTGCAGACTTGTCCTGCTGGATGGAACACTGTGGTATGTTGCCCATGTTCACCCTTTAGGACAAGGACACTCATCCCCCCCCCCCCACTGTGTAAGTGTTGTCACTAACAGCTCACAGCTGAGTCCCTCTCCAAGAATTGCCTTCAGCCAAAGGGAGCTGCCTCTCCCAAGATTATATACTCCTCCTCCTAGGGAGCATCCCTCATCCAATGCTTGATGCAGGGATGCCTAGGTCTGGTCCCCTGCTTCAATTCAGGACATATCTGACCCTTTAGGACAAGGACCCTCCCCCCCCCCCCCCCACTGTGTAAGTGTTGTCACTAACAGCTCACAGCTGAGTCCCTCTCCAAGAATTGCCTTCAGCCAAAGGGAGCTGCCTCTCCCAAGATTATATACTCCTCCTCCTAGGGAGCATCCCTCATCCAATGCTTGATGCAGGGATGCCTAGGTCTGGTCCCCTGCTTCAATTCAGGACATATCTGATGGGCCCTCCCAGCTCCAGAGCTCCTCATGGGATCGATTGGGGTCTGTTGCAACTGCCTTGGGTTTAACATCTCCCTCTGCCTAGTCATACTTCCTTCACTCCCCAAGTGTTTTTTGTGTCTTGTGTGTGAATTGGTCTCAGAGTCTGTTTCCAGGGAGCCTGACCTATAATACTCTCCCAGCCCCAGCACCCAGTCATAGAAAGCTTTATCAGTTTCTCAAGTGCACTAAGCTCTCACTGAGTTATGGGTCTTTGCACAGGCTGTTGCTTCTACCTAGAGCATTTCCCACCTCTCCTCCCCACTATCCATTTTATAGAGTTAATTCCTCTTCATCCTTCAAGTCTCAGCTAAAATGTCACCTTCTTGGGAAGTCTCCCCTGATTTACCAAGTTCATGTTTTGTTTTCTGAGAAATAATTCAGAAGGAAGTTTACATTGAGTAGAAAGACAAATAGAAACAGGCCAAGTTTAAGATTTCTATTCTATATCCAAGTGCAAATGTCCCCTGGGCAGGTGGAAATTGGCTTTAGGAGGAAAAAAGACCTTTGGAGCTCAAGACCTGGGCCTGGACTTGGAAACCATCAGTATATCACCCAGGAAGTTCCTTTATCAATTTACCTCTTCTCAAGAACATCCTGCACACCCCCATTAGGATCTCTCTCCATTTGTCCTCATCCTGCCTCCTGCAACTCAATGGCTGCTTGTATTAGTTTTCTAGGGTTGCCATAACAAAATACCACAGTCTGAGTGACTTAATCAACAGAAATTTATTTTTCACAGTTCTGGAGACCAGAAGTCCAAGATGAAGTTTTTGGCAGGCTTAGTTTCTTGTGAGGCCTCTCTCCTTGGCTAGCAGGTGGCCACCTTCTCACTGTGTCCTCATGTGGTCTTTTCTCTGTGCACAGACGTTCCTGGTGTCTATCGGTGTGTCCAAATTTCCTCATTTTATGAGAATACCGGTCAGATTAGGTTAGGGCCCACTCTGATGACCTCATTTTGACTTAATCACCTCTTTAAAGGCCCTATCTCCAAACACCGTACTATTCTGAGGTAATGGATAAAAATTAGGGCCCCAAGATATGAACTTGGGTTTGGGGGGAAGAGTCCAGCCTATAACAGTGCTACATTTCTTTTCTTCTGCCTTCCACACCTTTCCCCAGAGGCAGCCAGCCCACGGCTCTCCCCTAGAGCACCAATGTCCAGACTGACTTTCCCTTAAATTTCCTAGATTTAGACTTCAACGTGTTATGGGGGTTATTCTTCCTGGGATGGGGGTGAAGAGGTGGTAGGAAGACTTGAAGGATGAGTAAGAGTTCACTGGTTCCACAGGGGAGAAGCGTTCTAGGCAGAGGGACCTACATAAGAAAAAATACCACAATGTTAAATGTCATGGGGGTGTTTGGGGACAATTAGATGTGGCTCTTCTGAAGGATGAATGTCAGGGGTGATAAGAGTTGAAACAAGAAAAGTTGGCTGAGGTCACATTGTAAAGAGCTTTCATTTCGGCAAAAAATCAGCCAACGCTTTATCTAAAGAGACAAAGATGGGGAATTAGGGGCTGCTCCAATCTCTCATACAGGAAACAATGTAATTACTTGTAAAAGGCTGGAAGATTTGAGGATGATGTTAAAGCAAATGGCTATTAGGTGGGGGCAGGGAGCAGACATGGTGAATAAAAGTTAAAGGGGAAAAGGCTGTGGAAAAAGAGAAGAGAGAGAGAGAGGGGGAAAAAAAGGAACAAGAGGAGCTATTGTTTATATCCAAATGGTGAATTACACTGTCCCAGATGAGATTGTGTTGAGTTGGCTTCTGCCTCCTCAAAAAGGCATGGTCTCCTCCTACAGACTTTCTTGGAGTTGGCCAGCACCTCTCAGTAAAGTAGAGGGCACTGGGAGCAAAGAAGGCTCTAGAAATCAGAGGGTCAGTTAATATGGAGGCACAGTAGCAAAAGGAGCCACCAGTGATGAAGGCAGCAAAGACTTCCAAGAGGAATTGGAGACCCAGATGAGATCAGACTCAGTGGGCTAGTTGGGTTGAGTGTTGGTGTGTCTAGTCTTGATGGGTCATTTTGGTAAAATCAGCTCAGATCTGGGCTTACAGTCAAAGACTAGTGACCTGGATCCAACCACAATGAGGAAATAATGGTAGATATCAAAGGGCTTAAGTTTCCCCTCTCAGGATACTGGGGCAGGAAAGCAGAAGGATCAGACACTTGCAGAGGAGAAAAGGTAGGTCACCGTGTTTGGCCACTGTCCTCACTAGAGAGCTTACAGCAGTGGTCAAGGCCAGAGGGTAGATGTAAGAATGACAACAGAGCAAAGCGAATGATTTTATCCCAACTGCAGGCTAAGGAGCAGCAAGCCATTTTTTTTTATTCTCACCAAAACAGCAACCACTGAGTAGGGACAGCTTGAATAAAGATGGCTGGCGACTTTGACTGGTGTCAGTCAAAGCTGTGACTATCTCCAAAGTGAGTCTGTTGTGTCTTTTTTTTTTTTTTTTGTCCTTTTTGAGACCGGCCACACCGCGCTCAGCCAGTGAGCACTGTGAGCACACCAGTCATCCCTATATAGGATCCGAACCCGCGGCGGGAGCGCTGCTGTGCTCCCAGCGCCGCACTCTCCCAAGTGCGCCACGGGCTCGGCCCAGAGTCTGTTGTGTCTTTATGAAACCTCTGGTCACAAGAACATGAGGGTTTCCACTCTGGGTCTGCCCCATGGCTCCTCAATCCTAAAGGGTTAGGGGTACCAGTTGGGGGATTTTCTGCCTCTGTTTGGGATTGCAAAGAGTACAGCTCGCCAACTAAGGCCAGATGTGACCAGTCAGAGCAGAGAGGCCAGGCTTGTCCCTGTGAAGAAGCTGGTGACTGCAGCGAGAATGGTGTGGGCCTGAATCAGTGGCAGGCAGAGAGGGAGGTCCTGCCAGGGCTGGGCCAAGCTCTTTGGAGCCCACCCCAGCGGGATGGGGCAACAGCAGCCCTGGAAGCAGCCAGAGGGCTTGTGCGGCAACCGAGGCCTCCTTAGACTTCATTAGAATTGTGTGTATTTCATTGTAAAAAATCATGTAAGCATGCTATAGAAAACCAAGGAAAAGATTACGCACAACACCACCACCCAAAAGTTAATTGTGATACATATGGAGTTTTCTTCCACTGGACCTTATCCATCTAAATTCACAGTCTCAAAGTTAGGGCTTCAGGCATTCATGGAAAAAAGTTAACTGGAGCACCTTTAATATAAGATTTTATTGAAAAATGCCAGGCATGGAAAATTTTAGAGAGAGCATTCTCACTTGGAGAAAGAACCCAGGTCAGGCAGAAATTTTCATAAGGATTTAGGAGGGGAGGACAGCTGAAGTTCAACTAGTTTAGAGAATAGTTCAAAGAAGGTTCTCAGAAATAGGAGGAGTTGTCTTTAAGGATAAAGAGCTACTGCTCGGGATTTTACCAACGGAGTAGGGAAGGACAGTTAGGGGATAGGGTCATTTGAAAGAGGTGTGGGAAGGAATATCTATTGGGGACAAGGACATTTGAGGGCCACCAGTGGAAAATTCTCAGTCTATTGGTGTCTCTTGCAGGGACCAAATGCAAACCCAGGTTTTGACTCCTGGACAGAGCTCTTTCTGCATCCCGTCGATGCCCCAACCCTCCCCACTTTTGGTAGGTGATTTAGAAAAAACCATGGGGAGTCCTGGGCTCACCCACAGAAGGAGAGGTTGAGATAAGTAGAGGCTTGGATAGCAAAGGCAAAATTGGAAGATTTTACCACTTTGCTCTAGAGATATAATTTATCTTCAACTGGACCATGTCTGCAGGAGTTGAGTCTTATGTATTTCTGTCCTGCAGCCATATGAAGGGAATCCTGACATTAGTGATTAAGGAAACTCTAGGACTTCTTTGCAAAGGAGTTTCATCTCCTAATGGCTTGGCTCTAGAAGCATCACTGTATCAATAGTTGTTGTTCCTCTTAATGAAATTCTTCTGAGCTCAATTATGAGATTTTTCAGCTGTCAGTCTGAGTGGCCAGGCCTGTAGCCTAACATACCTCTCTGCCCAAGGGGAGGTGCAACCCTGGGTACTGGCTATTTGGAGATAGGGGTAGGTCAGTGTTCATTTTTCCTTGCTGTGCCTTTAAGAACTGCAAAAATCCAAAGGGAGTCTGGAGAAGGGGTGGGGTCTCCCAGTATAACTTCTGGGAAAAGGATCCTGGGAGTTATTGCCAAAAATTAAACTGAGATTCCAACTCTGAGAAGTTGGGAGTGGTTTGTGTTGGGTCAGGCCTCTGATTGGATCACAGAGTATACTACACAGGAGAAAAGCAAAAGCAAAGAGGAAACAGCTGGGGGAAGGGAAGGTGGGGTGGAGAGCCCTTCCCACCCCCACCTCAATATACACACTCCCAGGCCTGGAAGCAGTGTACAGCCACTAGCCTGGGGGTGGTCCACGTGTGCCAAGGGTGAGAGCAAATGATCCTGGACCCAGGTTGCTCTCTGCACCAAGTCAGCCTGCAAGGCCTCCAGGGACCAATTTGCCGACAGCTGGACTTGATCACCAGCTTGCAAACTGAGATCATGCATTGGGTGGAATAACAAGCAGACTGTGCAAGACACTGTTTTTAAAGGATTTGCCACAGCAGTGGATAGAAAGCAGGAGATCACCATCTAAACCCTTGAGTCTTCTTCGAGAACTATAACATAAGAGAGTCCACCCCTAGGTGGTTTCCAGGATGATGGTGGCCTTTCGCCGAGCTTCTGTTTTGCTGGTTCTGTTCCTCGAAGCTTTTCTGCCCCCACCACAGTGTGCCCAGGACCCAGCGATGGTGCATTACATATACCAGCGCTTTCACGTCTTGGAGGTAGGTGGCATCTGTGCACAGGGATCATGCCTCTCAGGAGTCACCCATATTTTACCCATGCTTCCCTAACTACTAGGATGCATTTTTCCCAGATAGTAAATGATAAACACGTTGCCAAAGTCACTTAAAAATGTTCATAGTCGAGCAGTGTAGAGCACCAGCTCTGGAGTCCAGTCTGCACCACTCCCAGACCTTTAACACAGCTGCACTCTGTGCTCTGATCTGGCAGTTTTTCTTACCTGTAAAATGGGGACGATAATACAAGTTACACTGTAAGGCTATTCTGAAGATTTAATAAATTAGTCCATATTTAAAACATTGCCTGGCATGATAGTAAGTGTCCAAGATGTTAAAATTCAATAATTCATTTTTTTAAACATGAAAATTTTAAATTTTGATTACTTCATGTTTTACTGTATCACGATAACAGATTTTAGCTTTTCTTTTTTTCTTTTTATAATAAACCATTAAATTAGTGTAAACAATCATGATATACATGTACTAAGAAGCTATGTCTTAGCTTCTTTTGCTGAGCAGGAATTGGATTTAGAAATGTTAAACAGATTTTAGCAATGTTAAATAGAAAGCATTTGGACTGCCCCTCATTAAACTAAAACCCAGCATTTTTGCAGCAAGAACATGCTCCCAAGGACAAATGTAACCCTCCGCCCTAGCCTTTGCCACACCCCGGCATTGACAGTGACTATTTCATAATTAAAGCTGTGATTTTGTACATGTTAAATTGATTATTTATTTTATTCCAAAGACACTCTTATCTCTAATATTTACTTTATTTTCCTGAAAAATCTTCAAGTTCAAATTACTTGGTCATCTAGTTACAGTCAGGGTGAAATAAGTCCACAGAGCAGGCTGAAGGCAGTTCCCAATGTTGTCCAGCCCACAGACTAAGGCCTGGAGGCAGTGGGTGAGATGTTCCCAGGCCGGTGGTCTCTTGCCACTTCTTCACCGGCTCCCTCTCCAGACACCTCCTTCCCCAGTCTAACCTTCTTAAAAGTGCCAGCATTATGCTCAGCTATGTTCTCTCTACGTTTAGCACCGACTTGCCCTTGGATTAGAGCCAGCCAAATCCCTGCAAATTGTCCTTCAATACCTTAAGAGTTCATCTGCAGACAAGGGTATAAAGTACAGACTAATACTGTCCTAGCTGTGAATGTGGATTTGAAAAAGATAGGGATTTGATCTGTATGGATCTTGCCAACTTAGTCCTGACCTGGAAGTGAATGAAACTAAATCCCAAGTGGCAGTTACTGTTGGCCAATGCAGACAATAAAGTGATACAGTTTCTACACTGAGGGCTAAGAAAAAAGAGGATAAGGATTTAGGGAATTTTCTCTGTCTCTCTTTCCCTCAAAATGAACAGTCGTAATGTGTTGCTGTTTGGGGTATAAATTTTTACATGTGTGGAGAGCGTTTTGGTAAACTGCCAAATGAGCTTTAAGTATATATACTCTTTGACTCAGCAATCCTATTTCCATTTATTCTTTCAAGGAACAAATATTTATTGAGTACTACTACGTGCTGGGCCCTGCGCCAGGTGCTGGGGATGCAGCGGACTTCTGGAAATCTATCCTAAGAAAATAACCAAATAAGTACATGAGGATGTAAATACAAAGATTTGTTTTTACCCAGCATTGCTGGAATCACAAAAAATGTAAAACTATGTAAAATGTCCATCAAAAAGAGTCTAATAGAATAAATAAATGGGATATCAATTCAATGGAATGCCATATCTTATTAAAATTATGGTAACGGTATAAATTGGTATTGTAATATGTTCACAATATGCTGGAATCACAAAAAATGTAAAACTATGTAAAATGTCCATCAAAAAGAGTCTAATAGAATGAATAAATGGGATATCAATTCAATGGAATGCCATATCTTATTAAAATTATGGTAAAGGTATAAATTGGTATTGTAATATGTTCACAATATGTCATCAAGTTAAAAATATGATTCAAAATATACATATAGTAAAATCACATATATGTACGATTAAATGCATGGAAGAAATTTTCAATTGATACACTAAAGTATCAATGGTATTTTTGAATTCAGGAGTTATGAGTGATTTTTATTTTTCTCCTTTTTTGATTATTTGTATTTTTCTAATCTTTTTCTTATGAATGAAAAATTTACATTACTTGTGTAATTTAAATAACTAGCAATAATTTGGGTATTTGTTTTCTGACTGAAGCAAGGGCTGGAAAAATGTACCCAAGCAACGAGGGCATACATTCAGGACTTCCGAGAGTTCTCCAAAAACATATCGGTTATGCTGGGAAGATGTCAGACCTACACGAATGAGTATAAGAGTGCAGTAAATAACCTGGCACTGAGAGTCGAACGTGCCCAGCGGGAGATTGACTACCTAGAATACCTTCGAGAAGCAGACGTGTGTCTAGAATCAGAGGACAAGACACTGGCAGAAAAGCTACTTCAAGAAGCTGAAGAAGAGAAAAAGATCCAAACTCTGCTGAATGCAAGTAAGAGAATTGCATCTTTTAATACACCTTCTAGGGACTGTCACACTCACAAAGATGCAGTATCAGCATAGTTAGGGTGTCTGATGGAGTAACGGGAGTAAGAACTGGATGTGCACTTTTGTAAACATATTCTTGGAGAGAAACCTGTGCAGGGAACAGTTGTCCCAAGGAAAATCCATTCTCAGAAAGCAGCTTTTCCTTTCACAGGGAGTTCTTAGACACTCCATGAAAGGTCAGGGCTACAGAGTTAGCAGTCAGCCCAGGGAGGCCACCCTCTGATAGATCTTGGTTTGGTGGAGGTGTGTGGTCACAGACTTTCCCAGGGAGAGTGGCAGGTTGGTGAATTCTACATCCAGTACCCAGGGAGTAGAGAGCAGCTACAGATGTGTCAAGCCACAGTCTGAAATTGGAAATGTCAGCAGCCAACTCTCAAGGCTGGGAACAGCAGTGAATTATTACTGAGTATGCTGTCTGGGATGGTGATGTCCAGGGGATTGTCTCCAATCTCATCTCCAATCTCCAGTCTTCCATCAGACTCACTTCCAGGCCATTAAGAATGGTGTTTAGGGGCTCAAATTATAATAGAAAAGTATCAGGTAATAAACACACAAATGAGAAGGAAGATTTCCTATGCATGAGTCCATTTCATTAAAACAACAGGGGATACAAATCTCTTACCTCAAA